TTCTGTAGTTTAGACTTTCCTAAAAATCATTCTTTTTACCAAGATTTACGCTACAACAACAAGTTGCAGAAACAAGTTTTGAAAACATAACGAGATTGCGTCTGTCTGTTCACTCAAGAATTCATAACAGTCTATCCGATGCCTAATTAGATATTCTATATGTACATGAGTGAGCCTTAAACCATTAAGCATCGTCATAATTCAACTAGATGAAATAATTGAAAATTAAGAACAAAGTTATAAGTTCCTTGGAAAAATGTTGAAATCTCAAATAAGTAGCTAATTTTTCTTCTCTTAAAAAACATTTAAAAAATAGCAAAATAAATTAAATAGATCTTCTATTAAATCGGAAATCTATTAATAATCGGATCCTATTAATAAGAGCAATCATGTATTGATATCGATACATGAATAACAATATTCTATCGATTCTTTAATATACCTTGCCACTTCATGAAAAAAAGATAATAACGTACAAACGATATCGGCGATATCTAGCGATGGGCAGGAGCCATTTCCATACGAAGCTATCAAAAAAACGACGACAAGAAATAAGAAAAAAACATCGCGCCGTTGAATCTAGAATTCAATTTGTTTCACACACATGCAAGAAGCAAAAGACAAAAAGGTGATGATACCGAATTGAATCTGCCTGTGATAATCTGCGTTGATTTATTCGACATTTTCTTCTTATAAGAACGCAATACGAATAGCAATTTCTCTCAAGAAATTGAGAAACCCGAGATGCCAAAGGTTACATCATGACAGGAAATTGTGTTCGCATCGCTTTTGAGCACTACTTCATTAACAGCAATGGAGAATGTTGTTTGAAAATAGGAACGCAGTACATCCTGCCGATATTCTGTCCACTAGCTAGAAAGGCGCGCGAGTAACCCTATCATGTTAACTCTGTCCCAACAGTTAAGTAAACAAAACGACACTCCTTAACCACCTGTAAGCTATACGAGTTATATTTCGTAATCAAATTTAAGTTCGTGACCAACATATGAATATAATAGACACCGCAGAATAACAACTGGCTTTCATAAATGCTAATTCAGAAATATGTACATATAGGATGATAGTTTTAGATTAAGTATTCTAAAAGATAACGACTAATTCACATCAAGAAAATTTTATACGATCATATAGGTATGCAAAACGACTTACAATTAGTTTCAAAGATACAGGGTGTGTCAAGTTAAAAGAAAAACTTCAAATTGAACACTCGATATCTTAGCCATTTCGAACATACGAAATGTTTACTTTACAGGTAATCGTCGTACAACATGTGGACGTCTGTATGTTCAGTAACGGCAAATTCAAGAATGTTGTAGCTCTTGTAAGCTCGCAAGAAAATTGTCCTCTAGGTCCAGGTGGTAATTTGCGAAAAATTTACACTCTCAGACTTGTTAAGGGCACAACTAAAAATTGGATCGCATTGGAGGACAGCTATGCGAAAACCGGAGCAAGTCTGGCATCAACGGTTACTAATCCTCGGAACGGACCTGATGATAGGAACGTTTATACGATTTACGTATCTTATTATGTGAAGGTAATTTTAAATATAAAAAAGGAAATAAAGATCGTCAGATGGACCTATTACAGGAAATAAATATAATTTTCACCTAAAACATTGCAAGACCTGAACTATTACAAAAAAGTATGAAAACTTTTGATTATAAGAACAAATTCTGGAAAAAATTTATTATATGATATATTAGATGCTTTATTTCAAATAAAAATGAATACAAATAAAATATAGTTTGACATTATCGAAAACACGTATTGTTACATTAATTGATGCAATATTACTTTAAGGAAAAATAAGACATCTTTTTCGTCGATTCATATCTATTTAATTCAAGCAAATTGATTTATTTTGGATTGACAACTATTTAACTTTAGTTACCAATCTGATTATAGTATAAAATTGTTACAGAGTATTATAAAAAATAATTTATAAAGATTCTCAATTTTTTATTATTTTTTTCTTTAAGATCAAACTGTTCATCTCAGCGATGGGTGGTGAAGTATCTTTGAAGCTACCATTCACGCTGATGCACAGTAACATAGATGCAGATCTCGTGGGATTCCCGTCTCCTACTCGAGAGGTACCAAAAGAATTTGAAAAAAGCACGAATGAGAGCACAGAGAAATCTGATAGCAGTAGTAGTCATCAAAATAAGGAGAATAAACTAGAGGCCATTAAAGAACAGAAGAAATCAAGGGTAACCGATGTGGACCTGATAGAGCACTGCGAGGAAAGCGACAGCACCTGAGAGCGGGCGCAACAAGGCGACGCGATGTCGCGGCCGTCTGTCAGAAAAAGCAGTGATGCGAAGGTTATCAAGACTTCCAATCACAAAACTTGTAGACTCAGCGTCAGCATTCAACGAGCTTGGTGTTGCTTCAGAAGGGCCTCTTAGTAAACGAATAAATGGAATTCTCGTAGCATCAGTGACAATTGATAGCATTTTGCTTTGCACCATCGCATTTTTGTGATTCTTCTTATTTTCTCATAGAGAAATCTCGTGACGATTGTACGAAATAAAAGAAAATTAAAGAAAATAATATATAGTGAATCCTATTAATTGAATAAGTCGTTAAAATCATTGGATGTATACATAAATATGGATATTTAAAATATATCTATTTTTTTTTTAATAAAATGCAGATTCGGAAATTATCAAATATATGCTTGAGAGAACACTGAACAACTTATTTCGCTTATATTTCATAGAAAAAAATTGTATAGAAGCGCGATTAATTAAAATACTGTATTTTCGTGAAAGATTGTACGCAATGCGTTCATATCACTCATCACTCACATTATATTATCGTATAGATCGTAGCAAAATTTTAATCGCTCTCAATAAAAGAGGAACGTTTCAATTATAAATATAGTATTCTAATCTATATCTATGGTTTTAATGTGTATATCTTCGTTATAATCAAGTGTGTGAAGTTGCTACTAATGTATCTTACGTAAATTGTATTTCTCAGTATGAAAGAAGATATATTTCATTGGAAAATTATGATTTATTAGCATTGCAATCTTTTTATCTACAGCTTTTATCAAGTGGAAAAAGATAATCTCCCA